ATGGGGAAACGCAGAATGGACCACAAGTCGTCTGCCACACACCAGACAAAGGCATTGCTGCAGAAACGACGACGGCGACGGCGACGACGACGACGACGCTCTGGCATGTCATTCATTTGGTTTTCTATGCCGTGTCGTGGTCGTGGTTCCCCCCATTCACCAGCCAGCACTCCTCCATGTCCCGCCAGTCATACTCTGCCCCTCGTTACGGGCAGGCACCGTTTTGTTCGTATTATTTTCGCACTCGACCAAAACTCCAAAAAAACATTGCCAACTGCCGACTTTTGTTGCATGTTGCCCACTGCCACTGCGGCTGTTGTTGTTGTCGTTGCTGTTGCTGCCACCAACTGAGTCACTAAAAAGTTGCATTTTATTTGCTCTTCAAGACCCAACGCCAAAAATTATTATACTCGCTCTCTCTCGGTCGACAGGGAGTATATACCCTGTTTGATGCTATAAAAGAGGGTATGATGATTTGGGGCAAATGGTTTGCCAAATGCAGAAAAATGAATACAAATATATAAAATAATATATAAAAAATTTTAAAAAAAATAAAAAATATTAACATTGAGATTTATAATGAAATAAATCAGTAATGCTGTATTTCAGTAAATATTAAGTGTTAAAATTCCATGTTTAAAATTAAATTAAATAATAAATAAGCCATGTAATATAAATAATAAATAAAATATAAAATATATGTAACAAAATAAATAATACAAATAAAATAAGACTCTTCGATGACATATAAAAAATAATTTCTTCATCAGAATAAATAAAAAAAAATCCATAAAAAGTAGTTCCTACATTTCTTCGATTTTTTTTTTTTTTATTGACTTATAAAAACTAAAGTTTTTTTCACTAAAATTATCTGCCTTTTTTTCTCTGATTTAAAAACTTCGCACCCAGAAACGATATTTAAAAACCAATTTGTTATAAAGAAAATTGTACTATCTGCCAAGATATTATGTTTAAAATTGTATATTTTAAATACTCAATATTTTCTATAGTTTTCCCTTAACAATCCCTATATTCCAGGGTATCTTAAGCTTTTATACCATCAAAAACCAAACCTTTCTTTCTTGCTTTTTATTTCTTATTTCCTTTTTGCCATTTCATTTGGGATTTCTTCTTTTTTATTTGCTCCGTTGCTGTTGCTGCCGGCATTTAATTGCCACATGCAACACATGTTGCCGACGCCAACGCCGCTGTGGCGGCAGCAACACAAAAAAAGGACAGCTTGGAAAAATTAATAGAAAAATATTTTTTAAACCATTTTTTAATTTCGGCCTTGTGGGCGTTTTTGGACAACAGAGGTGACACGACGGGGGGGCAGAGAGGGGCGAGAGTGAGAGAGAGAAGGGAGGAAGTGGGGGAGACGGCACAATCTTCTTTTTGGCTGCAATTTTTGGTATGAAATTTCATGGTAATTGTGGTTAATGTTATGGATATTTTATGTGGGAAAGAAAGAAGAAAGAAGAGAAGTACTTCCATCCAAGAGGGAAGGAGAATGAGAGACAGAGTGAGAGGGAGAGGGAGAGACGAATGGCAGTGGTTAGAAGAGTGAATAAAATGTTGGATGATGGTTATTTATTTGTTAAAAATAAAATGAAACCAGTGGCTGGAGTGCGAGAGAGACAGAGAGATACTTGTTAAATGAATTAATTTCAATTTTGTTGGTAGCACTTTGTGGCTGGAATTGAATGAGTTATAAATGGTTTATGAATGGTTTATAAATCCTTGCTAAATGGCAATATAATCACATATAAATGGACTTTATTTCACTTCAGAATTCATGGGAAAAACTCTTTTATGTTCAAAATGAATCAATAAATCTGCAAGATTGTAATTTTTATCAGCCATAAATCGAGCCATCAAACGTTTTTGCATATGCAACGAATCGATTGGGTCGCCCCATTCAGGCCGCCCTCTTACAAGTTCAGGAACCTGGTGGAAAACGAGTCCGCTTTTCACGCAACTGTTTTTCCCTTGCTTTCGTCACATACAAATTTGCATTCGGTCTGGCACCGGCACCGTCACCGTCACCGGCTACCGGATAAAAAGTAAAATGTTCTCGACAGACCCCATAGGCCATAGGCCATAGACCATAGACAACAGGCACAGACACCGACTGCGGCTTCATTTCCATTTCCATCTGCAAATGCAACTGCAACTCCGGACAGCCAGACTCCCAGCTCCCCACCAGCTGCAACTGCCGGCTGCAACGCTGTGGCATAAAAAGGCGGCCCAACCATAAGGCCCATAAAAACATTGCGCCGACTACCATGGGAGTACTTCTATTCGTGCACTTGGAAAAAAGAAAAGCCATTTGTACTGGAGCTTATTAAATATTCAGAAATTAATAAATACATATATAGATAGCTTAAAAAAAAGTATAAAAATAAAAAAAATATATTCTTTAAAATAAAAGTTAAATAAAGAATGGAATCATAGATTTAAATTCTAAAATAATTTCCTTGTCTATCGTGACTTAATGCCATAGTCAATTAAAAACCTAATTATAAAATTAAAATATTTTATTTTTTTTATTTATAAAAAAAATGTTGGATATTTTTAACTACGAAAAGGAAAAAACTAAAACTAAAAAAAATCGTAAAAAATATGAGATCCATATCATGCTAAAATATTTTAAAATGTGTTTAAAAATTCAAAATGTATATTTTTCATGTATCAAAATAGATTTTTAAAGCTCCTGCCTGTCCTTCCAACTAGAAAAATCTTTAAACAAATTTAAAGCTAAAAAAGTATCTAAGAAGTTTTTAAAAATAAAATGTTTCAACTTAAAAAAAATCGTTACAAATGATAAAACTACAAAATGTTTAAAAAGTACCTTAAAATTATAAATGTATATTTTCCATCTACTACAAAATATAACTAAAAACTATAAACCCATCCGCAAAGACCCTTATTTTTTCTCAGTGTACTCACTTCACTGCCATTCTCCCTCTCTGTCACTCTCACACTCTCTCTTCTATGAATTCAAGTGTTTTCCAGTGTGCGGATTGTTGTTGTTGCTACACAAATTTTATGCCTTTTATTTTTGGCGACTTTTGCCGACGACAACAACAACAGCAGCCATAACAGCCCCAACAACTACAACATTAATAATAGCGACAACAGCAACAACTGCCGAGGGAAAACTAAAGGGGGGAAAATGCGGCACATTTGCAACTTTGCTGCCACTTCCACTGTGAAGTTGGCGTAAAATTTCGCCATTTCGCATATGAAAGGAAGTGTGGGCGCCACAGAACAGAACAGAGCCACTGCACCTCCTGCAGCCCTCTTTTCCCTCCTTTTATTTTTGTTCTTTTTCTTCAACATTTTTATTAATTGCTCGAGTGAATTTTTGCATCGGCAAAATGCCTGTGAAAATGTTGCTTTGTGTTTGTTGTTGGGAGGAGTCTTTTGATCTTTTCCTCTTTCCCGGTAGAGACACTTTTAACAGATGAAAAACTATCAGGGGGGATCGAGGGAACTTCTCAAGCAGATGGTGTATAGGAAAAGAGATCCTAGGTGGGGTATTTTGGGGGGGGTTTTAATGGATAAATGGGAATATTATCAATACTTCTAAACCCTTCCAAGCCCCTTTTCAGTGTGCTTCTTTAACCATAGAGCGAAATTTGGAAAAGCGAAGATTTCTTGACATTTTCGAGTCATAGAAGCGAAACAAAAAACTTAAATAAATAAATATAATATAATAATAATAATATAATATAAAACAAATATACTCGTTATCTAAAAATAAAATAAATATATACAAAAATATAGGAAAAAATAAATAAAATAATTAATTAATTTATTTAAATTAATATATTTTATTTATAATATATATTATAACTTATAAAATTATAAATAATAAAATAAATTAATAATAAATAAATGTAATAAATTAATTTTCATTGACAACAAAGCATTCAGAATGGTATGGCTATTAAAGACCCCCATAGATCATAAATAAAATACAAAATGTCTAACAAGCATTCTTGAAGTTCCTTTAGTTCCGTACTCCCCTATTTTTCCCCATTTCTGCTGGAAATTCCACCATTTCATCCATTAAACTTCCTGTTTTTCCCCCCTTTCTTCCCACTGTAAAATTCCGCAAACTCAACTTCTGAGTATTCAAATCCATTCATCAATCAGCTAAATTCTCATTTTCTCCAAGTCAAACTTTCACCCATTTACCACCCGTACAGCTGTACACTCTCCTACAGCACTTGTACACTCTCCTACACTCTTCGCGAGTCATAAATCTAGCTTGAAAAAAACTGTTAGTTTTAGCTTGTGTTTTTTTTTTTGTGTGCTTGTTGATTTTGCCTTTAAATTTTGGAAAATATTGTTTAAATGCCAGAGCACTGAGGCCCTGTCGCATTTCCGGCTGCCAAAAAAGGGCAACCATCAAGCCGGCCCACCCCCCTAAAACAGCCCCTAGACCACCCCCAAATCCTCCTCCAGCTCTCTGTCGCTTTTGCGTTCAGCGCGTTTTTCGCGCTGTTTATATTTTTGTATTTTGACACGTTTTGGCATGTCGCCGAGGGAGGTGCCAGCAGGAGGAAGGCGAAGGGGGAGTTTTAGCAGCGCTCTGTGTCGTATGTCTCTGACATTTTACATAAATTTCTGCTTGCTCAGCTCTGGAAAATCGTGACGGGGACTATAGAGACCCCTCTTTCCCATCGCCATCGCCACCGCCATAGTGATGGCCGTGACAGCAAGAGGACCTCCGCCTGCCATGACTTTGCTGTCATGTGACAAAAACGCGACAGTTTGCAAGGTCACGTCACATTAATTTGCTGACAATGATGTATTTAGGGGGAGAGAGACGAGACGAGACGCGACGAGACCTATGGATGTATTCCTCCTTGCGAAATTCTTAAAGCCTTGCCGCCAATTAAGGCTACAAGAGAATTCTCCCCTTCTCCCCCTCTCGCCCTTGACAATTTTTCTTAATTTCCCTGTTCTCTTCTTTTATTTCGTTTCTGCAGAGTGTAAAATGTAGCTGCAAAATACGTGAGGAATTACTCAAAGGAACAGGAACACCGAAAGGGAACGATAGAAAACCAGCGAGAATAAAACGAAACGAAAATCAAAATGCCAGCAATAAAATTACAACAATTGAATTCAATTTATTCACACGAAGGAAAGGAGAAGGCAGTACCAGGACCTCCGCGACCTGGACTTGGACCTGGACACCGATACAACGCCTTCTGGTGCCACTGGTGCTGGCATTTTGCAACAAATTATTTAAAAAGTTATTGCCACATTAAGCGTCATGGTGTTAATAACAATAAAACTTTATGTTGGCTGACACTGACTTTGATTTTATTGAGCACACGAACGGCAATTGGCATCGGAGCTGCCACTGCCACTGCCACGGAAGGAGCGGCAGGGGTAGCCGTAGCAGCACCAGCTGTTGGCGGTGCCCCATCAGGAAGCGTGGCAGCATTGGAGATTGGTAAGTAATGCGAATGGAAAGGTGTTCGGGGCGTGTATGTGTATGTGTGTGTGTCTTACTTATGCATGTGCATTTTTGATCAAAATGTTGATTAAACTAGAGATTTGTACTGCGACGATGGTACGGGTAAATAAATATCAATTTTTCCTATTTCCGTTTTTTTCTGATTTTTCTACTAAAAGCAGTCCTTCAATAAATTCATATGATTTTTTTTAACATTTACAAAAGATCTTCTGATTTTCCTAATAGATTTTCACATATTCAAGTGTTTTTTTCATCATAACTATAGTTTTTCGTTTATAGGGTATTTTCTATAATTTTTTTGTCCCCTAATGAAAATTGGAAACCTTCTCCCATTAAGCGATGATAATTTCCCCAACAAAAATATCACAGATTATCACATTTAAAGGAGACCCTGCCCTTGGTTTTATTAGTAGCCGACTTTTTATGCATTTTACGCTAACAAAACAAAAAAAAAAGGAAAATAAAACTTTGTATAATTATTCATGTTTATTCAAAACGCATCATGAAATCGAATACAAATTCTGTTTTGCGCACTAAATATTCATATTCACAGTTTTGCACATTTTCGAATAGAGCCAAAAAAAAGTTTTTCTTTTTCCAATAAAAAAATGTTTACAAAACATTTTACCGTTGAATGATGGGGGGAAAAAATCCATATGTTCATTTCCCATGAAATAAAATTTATGCATTTTTCGAGGTACAACAAGAAGGAATAAAAAAGGTACGATACAAAGAAATATTATGGAAAGTACGGGAGTATTTTGTATACAAAATTTCAGCACAATTCGAAATTCGGTAACAAAGCCAATCGCCAATCGGAGGAAAGAGAGAGAGAGAGAGAGTATGTGGAACCCAAAAATTCTGTGTCTGGTTCACGGACGAACGGATCGCATGGGGTAGGAGGTTGGAGGATGTGGGATCGGGACTCGCTCAGGAGTAAACTTCCCAATGTCCATGCATCATTGCACACATGCAACGATGCAACAGTTTAGGGCAGGAACAACATCCCCGATGCACTTAATTCTGAATTGCACTAAATAGTCGAGGCGGCACACACGCAGGGAATTTGCATTTGCATTCAGCAATCAACATGGAAATCAATCAACCGCAAAGCTGGAATGAGGGCTCTAACCCCTAGTCCATGGTTCCCGGACCTCATCCTGGTCGAGGCTCCTGCTCTTGGCTCTTGGGTCTTGGGTCTTGGCCAGCGTCTCCTGTTCAAGTATTTACCAATAACACAAAACCGTAACTAATAACTGGAGGAGGGGGGAGGAAGGAGGAGGGCGGAGGGGTTACCGGCCAGGTTACGGCCCCGGCACGCACTCAACCACAACCAATTACGGAAAATTTACGCAAAGCGCCAAGGATCCCTCATCGAACCCTAAGCCCAGAGAACCCAGATCCCAGTTCCCACTCCTCCTCCTCCTCCTACTCCTCCATCGGACGTCATTAATAAACATGAGGTTAGGCATAAACTCCAGAGGTGGGGCGGTGGAAAAATGATGGCTCCGAATGGCTCAGAAGTGGGTGGCTCTGACTCTCAGATACAGATAGAAAGATAGATAGGTAGGTATTTGTTTGTATGTATGGATATACCAAATCGAAGGCAGCAGCAGCTCAGCGGCTCTTTTGATAGATGACTGCGTCTTGGCTGCCTCTTCCGCTGCCCGACTCTTCTGCCGTTGTGGCGCTGCTCATTACCATTGCTGATTGGCCGGACTGGCTGGGCTCCCATCAGCCGCCTCACGTGTCCATGTGTGGTCCCGTCCATCACAGCTGGTGGCTCCTCCAATGGATTCCACTGGCTTTGTTGTTATTTTATATTCGTCTGCCGAGCATAACAAATTATCTTGTTGCCCAGAGAGGTTTTTTTTATACCCAGAGACGCTGGCTCGTTAGCCACCAACTTGTTTTCGAACCTCCAAAGAAATGGCAACAATATTTCCAAGCATCGAATAGGGAAATACGCTTAAAAATATATACCTTGTTTCTGGCGAAAGGGGAGTAGAGAAAATGAATGAAAAACCACATACCTGTGCAAGCAAAAGTCATTTTCACTCAAAAAAAATCGAGCGAAAAGCGAGCGACTACCGACGGACACCCGCGCAACAGCTTAAAACGTACACAGGGCATATTATTATATATTACGCGTATAACACTGTTGCTATAAAATTATCACAGAATATTGTTCCTAATATTTGTGGGAATATTTATTCCATTTTTCTGATGTTTTTAATCACTTTACAAATTGCGCAATTAAGAATTTTTTCACCGAATGCCGCGCGCCGAGAAGATGAAAAGAGATCTGGTCATCAGATTAGCCGAACGTTCATTTCGTTCTCCCACTCTCACTTTCGTTCTCTCTGGATTTGCAATCGGCTGTCAATAAGCGTTGCTTCGTGGGAGAGCTGAGGGCATGGAGTTAGCATGCACCCAGCGATCATTCACATTTTAACAGAGCAGTAGAGCGAGAGCGAACTGTATCGTAAATGATCTGTGCGAATATGATTGCCGAAGCTTCCACCCTCACCTTCGTTCTCTCTGGAATTGTAGTCGGCTGTCAACAAGCGTTACTTTGCGGGAGAGCAGAGGGCATGGAGTTAGCATGCCCCGAGAGATCATTCACATTTTAACAGAGCAGTAGAGCGAGGGCTGAAGTGTATTGTAAATGATCTGTGCGAAATGATTGCCGAAGCTTCCACTCTCACCTTCGTTCTCTCTGGAATTGTAGTCGGCTGTCAATAAGCGTTACTTCGCGGGAGAGCAGAGGGCATGGAGTTAGCATGCACCGAGCGATCATTCACATTTTAACAGTGCAGTAGAGCGAGAGCGAATTGTATTGTAAATGATCTGTGCAAATATGATTGCCAAAGCTATGCTTCACTCCCACTTTCATTGTCTCACCCTCTCTCTATCTCTCACTGGCAATGCAAAGCCCGTGGATGATCTCATTATTAAGCGCATCGTGTGAATTTTTGTGGTTGTATGTGTTTACAGACGAACGCAACTTTGCCATGGATTTTCTACGTCAATACGTTCCTCCCCCCACTCATTCGTTCAATGATGAAGCTGTGACTAATTTTTTCCTATTAGATTTCTCTTTAAAATGAACCCCTTGAAATTTTTAAACTTTAACGCTCCAAACCCTTTTCAGAATCTCCTTTTATACGTTCCACATACATATGTAAGATATCTCCCGACCGAAGATTGGTTAAATTATTTGCACCAAAAGCAGAGTACTTCCTTTTGACATGAATCAAAGGAGAACTGGAGCACACACTGGAGAACGAATTCCCTTTGAAACAAAATGTATAACAAAGCCAATCATCTTTTCTTTTCCGTGTTCGAGAGAGTGAGGGCAAAACCAGGCCACGACACCGACGCCTCGGTTCGGTAGCAGGAAATGAATGAATGGAAGCTGAATGAAAACCATGTTGATGTTGGTCTGCCTTCTGTCTTATGGTTCAGCTGTTTATTCCAATATGCGAATGTGAATGCGAATACATACGTACATATACGACTACCCGTACGAATTTATCTGTATTTATTTAAATGCGTAAATATCTGCATGCGTCTGCCATATTTCATTTGACCGTAGGCGCGTTGAAATGTTGCTCGAATTGCTTTGCGGCGACCAAATAAAAAATTACTCCCTGCCACTCTACCATGCCACGGCACACCAGCTCTCCGTGGCTGTATTTAAATTGATAATGTTAAAGCTCGGTCCGTTTAAATGGTCGTATAAATTGTCTGAAATATGCGTTGAAAAGTGGCCCAGAGATCAGGTAAGACCCCAGTCGCAGTCGCAGTCTCCCTCTCTCTCTCTCTTGGGTTCGCTTGATAAATGCGCGACAGTCAACAATTGGAGGTCAAGTGGTGTCTGGGGCTCTGGCTCTGCTCTGCTCCGATCTGATTGGGAAACATACGAGTAGTATGAATGCAGTCGTGGGGGATGCCTATGGAGAGGATGGATGGCCCGGGTTCGGGTTAAGTAGGTGTGGATGCAATATAGTGGATGAAAAATTGAATGCCTGAAAGAAAAGGTGGGAGAAGCAGACGAAGGGAATGCGTTTTGGAATGGTTTATAGCCTGAACAGAAGAGTGCTTTGTATTAGAAAATGTTATGGGATCAGTAATCAGGTGAGAGGTACAGCAACAACAGTACAAGCCAAAGCAATAGCTTCCACAGTGGCATTAGAATCCATAGGAAGAGAAACAGTAGCAGTATGACAACAACATCCACAGCCAGAGACAGCATCCACTGCCATCGAATCCATAAAGGTGTTGTTGTGAGCGGAGTGTGAGGAAGACGCGACAATTATCTGCTTTGAAAAATAACATACACACATACCCACACGCGTGTAGAAGTTCCGCAAAATCTTCGGTCATTGCACTCTCAGAGAGAGAATGAGAACGAGAGTGGAAGACGAAGCGCAGTTTGGGCAACTATCGATGCTAAGATCATTTACAGTTCTGGTTAATGAGAATGAGCTGCCTTTTCTGTTAAACTGCTGTGTGAGAGCATAGGTGAATGATCGCTCGGCACTTTGGTAATTCTATGCACAGCTCTCCCACGAATAACAGCCGATTGCAGTGACCGAGAGTAAATGAAAGTGAGAGTGGGAGAAGATTTGAGTGACAAAATAGGTAAATGAGCGTTCGGGCAGCGAGAGGGAGAATGGAGTTCCACTCATATCGATGGCGAATCTTAATTTTACTGAATAAATAGTAAATAAATGGTGAATTTCCATTAATGGAATTGAAAATCGTTATCCCACAGCGTTTTGCAGACCATTTATCCCCAGCAATGATATTACGAGTTAATGTTTATTTGGCCATTTCCCAACTAGTTTTTTATTATCCAATTGCATGCCATGAGAGTATATGCCCCTCTAATCTCTATATTTACCTCTGGGAAATTTATGGAAATCATCAACCCACTCTCGCTGTAGAGACTCTCTAAAACCAATTTCCCAAACTAATTGCTTGGTGGCTTATGCATCGATTTACACAATATCCCACAATGCGTGGCTCACTTTTACTTTCTAGCACCGCACCAGAAATATCCCACAGTCCCACACCACACATGGAGCGCTGAAGGAAACAAAAACAAAACCTGATATGGATTGGTATTAGATGTTGTCTTGGCCCGAAAAACAGTGGCCACACAGCACACGATAAACCAAACACCAAAGCTGCAGCAATGCATGTAATTTGGAGCTGCAGAGCTGCAGAGCAGCATGGAAATCTCCATGTGCCGGTGGCACCACTCGGTGGCAATCAAAAGTAAATGCGACACTAAACTCCCAGCTGCCGCTTGCCGCTTGCCGTTGGGGCACCAGTGGAGCAGCAGCCAGCGAAGTGGATCGCAACGGTTTATGTAGGTGAAGTTGTAGTTAGTAGCGGCACTTAAGGCGTCCGGCAGCCGGCAACTTGTGGGGCATGAAATGCATGACATGGAGAGCAGGTAGATATCTCAGATCGAATAAGGGAATGCTCTTTATTTTTGCAAGTAGAAAAATAAAGAAATACTCTTGGAAACCATTCCAAAATATATATCCCTTGTCCCAAAAAATGGGGAAAAAATATATTAAAATTAATCATTAATCGGAATCTTTTTCCTCAGCCCAAAAACCCCACTAGCCCGCATATAAAGTGCATAAAATCATGGCTTTTAAGTTAGTCTCTCTTTCTCTCTCTCTCTCTCTCGGACAGCGACAACATTTGGCATTTTAACGCTTTGGCCATAAAAACATGACTGCATTTTTTGCGATATACATTTTTCCAGAGCCAATAGATCGAGTGATCTATAAATTTTGCTGGCCAGGCACCAGGCTCCCAGCCCCGAGGCCTCGAGGCAGGCCTCAGGGTGCAGCTGCAACACTGTCGATGATCGCTGGCATCCGATAAGATTCGCCACGAATGCGGCCAGGCCGGGCCAGGCCGATGTGACAGGCCGTGTCGCCGCGTGGAAAACAAAAATTAAATAACAATTAATAGCTTAGCACCCACCAAAAGCCGAACGCCGAAAGCCACTCTCCGGCTTTCAGGGCTCTCTGGCGATAAATTAAAAAGTCTCTGTCTCGCCCCGAACTTTTCTGATAACTTGGCGACGATTAGAGCCCCGAAGAGACATCGAACATGTTTTGGTTTCCCTCTCGGATCGGAGTGGATTTATGTTTGCGGCGATAGAGCGTTCGAGCGGCGTAAAAGTGAATGCGCGCCTGCTCGCAATGTGGCTGGTGGTGACATGCATTTAAGATACTCCCGTGGTTGTAAATTATGTTAATTTATTACCATATCTACAGTGGCCTCTGCATCTGGTGCTCCGTTCTAGGGATGGACGCGTGACAAGTGTTGTGGGTGGAGGGGGGGGTTTTTTAATCACGCATTAATTACTGTTTTATTTTTAATATTTAATGTTTTTTATGAATGATTACAATGGGAATTCCACGACAAGAGAGATCCTTCCATGAAATGACAATCTTTCGCGGGTTTTATTTGAGCATTCGTGAATATATAGAGTGAGTGTATTCGAAGCTGGAGTTCTGACGGGTCATGGCCCGAGGATGTTGCCTTTGTTCCTATTTTATGTACTCAGATATATTTCCATCTTATATTTCTAGGTCTCACGACATGCCCCTCCCCCTCACGCGCTCCTCCCTAACGAATACCCCATTTACACCATTCGAACATCTGTATCTATCGGTTATTTGAATGCTTAATGTTGCATGTTAGATGTTTGTCACGTCAGCGAAGATAGCGAGAGAGAGAGAGAGAGCTCTTTTCCACAGTTCATTCGCTTTGGTCGGTGGTTGTGTGGTCCGACAGCTACTTTTTTAATTGCATCCGTGAGATACACAACAGTCCAGTCCAGTCCAGCCCCCGCACACACCCCATTTCGAATGGGCAATTAAAATGCGTGCGTAATTTGTTAACACAATTTCTACTCGAATCCGGGGGAATGGGTGTAGGGGGGATCGGGTATCGGGGATCCCTTTGGCCGGACCACACCACACACCGTTTACTTTCGGCCTCAACGAACCATGGCCAAAAGTTCGTTCGTTCTCGGCGTCGGCTTCGGCGTCGGCGTCGGCGTCCTGCCCATAAAGCACGCCTTGTTGCTTTTGTTGTTTATGAGCGCCAGCAGATACGCGTCATTAAGCGCGTTTCTGGCGCGTTTTTGTTTTCGCTGTTTCGCCCGCTCGCGCTGTTTCGGTCGCTCGGAAACTTTTTACCCGCTACAGCGCCCTTTGTGGCTCCTCTTTACAGCTCAAAAACTCCAAGGGGAGTCTATCCATTGGTGAAATGGCAAATACCCTGAGAAAGTAGCTCTCCAGCTAGCTTTTAGACTTGTTCTGAATGCATTTGGATCCCTATAAAGTGGTGGAAACCCTCGGGCACACCAGACTAATTCTTATCTGACAGATACACACATACTTCAAGGCACAATATTCCTTACAATCTACTCATGTTTCTTGTGTTCCCCCATCGCGGTTTAGCGCTTAATTAAGTTGGATAATCCCTCCGGGGGGAAATCTCACTCTCCCCCCCCTCTCTCTCTGTCTAACCGCTTTATCAAGCCATCTTCTGCACGGCATATGAAAGTGTATCCCGTGAAATGTTTGTTAGCAATTTTCCATGGCTTATGGCCCGTGCCCCCGCTGCAGCATTGAACTGTAAAATTGTGCAATTTTCAATTTTCATAAAGTTTCGCGGTGTTTTCTCTCAAGCATTTTGTTTGTGTGTTTACACACTCCCAATGCCGCCCCCAAAGAGAGAGAGAGAGGAGAACTTTGAATTATGATTATCGCACACACACACACACACACGCGCGGAGGGCTGCAGCGGACAGAACAGCACCCCAGGATCCCCTCCCCCCCCCCCCCTTACCGTCCCCCAACCCCTTTTTCACCCATGCACTCAAGTGGCAGTTAATTAAATTTTGCGCAATTTATTTTGTGCAAAAACTTTGCGCCAACAACAGCAACAACAATTGGAAGGAGCAGCAATTTCCCTGCAGCCGGTCCGCGTGCGTTGTTTACTTTTCACTTTTCACTTTTCACTTTGTAGTTTTGCATTTTGCACCGTCGAAAGTTGTTCCCCCTATTTGTTTTCCCTCCACAAGAGATGTGTTCTCTCTGGCATATTTGTTTAGCTTTCCTTTGATTTTCCACCTCTCAATCGGCGGATGGGGGAGGGGCAGGGATCCGATCCTCATAATTGAAAAGCGCTGGCATATCCATCAATTTCCCCTAAATAGAGAAACATTTTCGACCCATTTTCGCTCCATTTTCCCCCCTTTTCTATAGTAGTTTTGGCTCCCCATTTTCGTTTCGTTTTCCAATAATTAAAAATAATTTATGAGCTTCAATATGTCATAGATATTACGAGTGTGGGCGGGGGTTTCCCCCCAAAGGGGGTTGGGGTGGGGTGTTTGAGTGATTGCAGCAATTTACTGCCAAAGTTCCTTCAGCTGTCGTTGCCTCCGACTGTCCGTCTGTCTTGTCGATAATTAAGCAATTGCGTTTTTCCCCTCGTTTTTTCTGGCCAAATGAGTTTTCACAACTGCTAAAACGAGAAACAGTTCGGAAAAGTGTGGGTCAAAGGGCCAGTGGGAGGAGCCTGGGGTACATAAATAGGGAGACTGATGATAGGGGAGATCTTACGGATCAGTATTGGCAATATATTATAACTATATATTGTAGGAAATTGGATTAGAGAGATCTCCCAGTATCATAGATCCGTTCCAAAAGAAATAAGTATTCCTATAAAGATCTGAGAGCCAATTCCATCTTTGAAAACACAACCGCATTGAACGGAATGATCTTTTCGAGTGGATTCATCAAAACTAGTTTAAAAATATTCCCATCTATTCATTACGATCCATAGTTCCATTGCTACAATGATCTCTGCTTTAATTCTCACAAGACAGAACCCTCTGATCGTTTTTACACTCATCTTAGGATCTATTCAGAGAAAAGGGATCTTTTAGAACGTTTCCGCATAGGAATGAGATCAAATAATTCTCAAAATGAGCCAATAAAACTACCAAATTCCATTGATATTACTGATGTTGGCCCCCCAAACCCAATCGGATACTGATCTTAAGGTCCAATCTTTGACAAAATGTTTGATAAACAGAGCTTTTAGTGCTCCAATAGTTCCAAGGGTTCTCTATAAGTAAAACTTCCTCTAGATGCACATCTCTCTCTCACTAGGAAGATCTTTTTATGACGGTATGCTTTCTTCTACAGAAATCTGCATGCTGTCTCCCATTTTTCTACAAAACTTATAGGAAAACCCTCTCTCATTTCCCTCCCAGAAACTCTTCAAGCATCCCTCGCTTTTCTTAAGGCCACTCTGCCAAAAAGAGCACAGAGGCGAAAGCCTGAGAGATCTTCGATGGTTTTTGTAAAATGAAACTACAACATCGAGAAGATGATGAAGATGCTGAAGAAGAAGGGTCTGCGTCTGGCTGGAGTAGGGTCTGTGGGTCTGGGGGTCTGTGGGAGAGTATCCATATCTGCAGATGGCGCGATTGGACTGTCAAGTATCTTCTCTTCTGTGTCTGCCCCTTGTGGGAGGGGCCCTGACCTTTGTCTAGTTTTTCCCTCCGCTCTGGCTGCATGGCTTTGACTTATGGTGCTTAAGCACTGACTGATTGCATCTAATTATTCACTGAATGATAATATTCTTGAAGCAGAAGAATATTTGTGGAAGCAGGCAGCCAGCAGGCAGGCAGCAGGCAGCAGCAGAAACAATGATGATGATGATGATGATGGCAATGTCTCAACGACCTATTCATGACCCTTTCGCGGTCTCTTGGGGCTGCTCAGATGGAGGCTGGCTGGCTGGCTGGCTGGCTGGCTGGCTGGTGGGGCCCACAGCCATTCTTCAAGTGGGATGGAAATGATAATTGCGCTTTTCATGCATTCTCCACTCGACAGATTGATGGCAAATGGAAATTGAGTTGCTGAAAGTCCAAGATAGAGAGAATGTATCTTTGTATCTTTGTATCTCTTCTTTCCAATTTGTGGCCTGCCCTTTTGTCTTTGGTTTAATTAATTTATTCATTCAATTTCGACAGGTGAATGGAGGGAATCATTTGTTTTTCTATGATTTTTCTATGATATCTATAATTTTGATATTTTTCTCTGTGGGTCGCATATATCATTATAATCATCAAAGATTTTTCATCATTACATCATCTTATCTCATCTTTTGTTTGTGTGTTTTCCTCTTTTAGGAACCTGCAAGCAACCGTTGGGCATGGAATCTGGCGCCATTGCCGATTTTCAAATAAGCGCCAGCTCGGCCCACGATATGGGAAATGTGGGGCCACAGCATGCCAGGTAAGACGAGACAAGATATTTTCAAGAGATTCTAAGAGATAAAAGAGGTTTTTTGTATGGTTGATGGAATGAAGGAGATTCAAACAATGTTGCATCACAGAAACCATTCAATAGAATTGTGCAACAATGAACCCGGGAAAAAAAGCCCTGAAATATAAATATTTAATATTTATGGTTTAAAAAATGTTTACCCAAAGATCTGCTCCGAGAGTGGACAGTGTAAAAGCAAAGTGTTCTTTCGTCATTTCTATGAAAATACTTGATTTCTATTTTTATTTTTTCTATTTGTATTTTTATTATAAATTAATATAAAAACTATTTCCTACAAGTTTTCTATTTATTTTTAAAGTCTTACTTTTAAACTATTAAAAATTCTTTTTAATTTATAAATTAAAATATTTCCTACAAGTTTATTGTTTTTTTCTTATTTTAATATTTATTTTTAAATTTCTCACTTTTAATTTATTACAAATTAATTTTAATTTATATTTGGGTAAAAATAAATTATATTTAATTTGATTGTGTTTGTATTTGTATTTAGGACCAGAATATTTAAAATAAATATGGATGCGTTTTTTTCTTTTTAACATGCCAATTTTTGTGGGATAAATACCTTAAAGTATTTTTCTTATTAATATTTTTTAAAGAAAACTCTTACTTAAAATATCCACCAAATGGTAGTTCCTTGTAAAAGAAATCCTCAAAAAATGTAAATTTATATCAAAAGAAAATATTGATTTTTAGGTCAAAGTTTAAGGCTCGTGCTTAAACACCATCTACAAATACTTTTAGTGCCTCTTTTAATCCCCTAAAACCCCACAGACTAATCACAATTTCTGCCTTCAAAAAGCAAAAAACATTCCAAAAATCCTTCCGTACACAGAAAAAGCGTGTCACATGTGATGGCTGTAAATGTGTGATAAACAGCCATGATCTATTACAATTTCTTGACTCGTAACATGAGGATGATGCATGTTTTTATAGAAGGGTCGCCAGGGAGGAGAAGGACACGGGCCTGTGTCTTGTTTCCTGCCTTTGTACATGGTAAATAATTATTATTATGAATTATTTTATGGCGTGTTTAAATGCCTTTATGTCACAAATACAAAAAAATAGCACAACAGAGAAACAGTGAAAACACACAAATGACATAAATTAAAGCCCAGAGAAAACAAGAAAACAGCACATGCAAAAATGAGTTTACAGCCACCATCAAGAGGGAGAATAATGATACAACTTATGGGGCAGACATTCTGCTGACATTTATTTGCCACAAAAAAAGGGACGGGGGACGGGGGACGGGGGGGAAGGAATTTTCATGGGTAATTATTCGCAAAGTCAAGGACTGCCCAGAACAGATCATGAATATATAATGCATAATGCCAACATCATACATTCTGTAATAAACTCTGGCTCCCTCTCTCTCTCTCTTTAGAAACATTTTTACGAGGCACTAAAATCATTTTCGGAATGTGTGCCGCAAAGCAAACACAGAGGGGAAAGCCCCACCACAGAATACCGTCATACAAAAAGAAAAACAAAAACAAACAACTTTGGCTGAAAGTTTTCCCTATTTTCCATCATCATACATTGGGTTAACGTTAGCCGGAAACAAAACAAGCCATAAAATATAGAACTTTTTTTGGGTATAATATTTGATGGAAAATCTGCGATAAAAATTGAAAAGTTAACCAAATGACCGCAGGAGGAGGAGGAGGCGGCAAATGATGAAAAATCTATGGAAATATTAGTTGCGATAACAAAAAGAAATAGGATTACTTTTCTTATGATTTTTACTAAAAAATTTTTAAAGCAAACAAAACCAGAAAAATATCTAGTAGAAAATATAGGTGGTATCTGTGCTCAAAGAGTGGAGGCATACCCCTAATGAAATGCATAAGCAAAGACTCCTTTCGTTTTGCCAAGCAAAAAGCCTGAAATACACACGGAGGGAAAATATATGACTGGAGTAACAGGAATATTGATTATAATGTCAATGTCGCCACCCCCCCCGCCCCCCCTCGACGATGGGGAGGGAAAACACTCGCATAAAAATAAAAGAAAAGCAATAAAATTATGCAAAGTCAACAGAAAAAGCGACCAAACGACAGTCGAGAACGAAACGAAGGGAGCGACAGGCGACAGGCAACGTCCATGGCGGTGCCCTGGTACGTGTTGACTACTGCCCCAATCTCCTGGGGGCACCCCACCCCCCTCCCTGCGAAGGGCCAGTGGCAGTGGCGGCGTCTCCGGTGCGCAAAACAAATGTTTGGTACTAAAAATGTCACACATGGCGTTTTGCATGTGGCGCCCAGTGACTGCCGGTACCGAAATGTGCGTGCCCGGGCCTAATGATGGGGCCTCCTCTCCGCCATATGATAGGGGGGGTGGGGCAGGGAGGGAGTACGGACCTGGAGTTTAACGTTAAACATGCGCCAAAGTCATATGAATTTTATTACAAATGAAAAAAGGTTGCCTTTGGCCAGAGAGAGAGAGAGAGAGAGAGAGAGGGGAAAAGGAAAAAAAGGAAGCAGAGATTCGGGGGAAGCCAGAGATACAGTCAAAAGACTGGCAAAAAGCAAGACACAGAGGCGGGAAGCGGTAGAGGAATGAAAGTCACAAAAGATTGAGTGAAATTCACTTTCTCTCATATGATGGAAATGAAAAAGTTTCATATATGAACAAGGGGTTAAAACCACACACACACACACACAAACACAAGAAAGAAAGAAAGCAAGAAAGAAAGTTCGTTTCTCTCCATCCTCAAAGTTCTATATTTTGCAACGATTTATGGCATGCTTTAAGGCCACTTGGCAGCGGTACAAAACTTATTACCGAAAAATTTCGAATATAGCCTACTTTCTGGCGCCCCGAACTGCTGGTGCAGGGAAGCAGGGAAAGGGGAAGGGGGGGGGAGGGGGCTGGTAACGAAAAACAATAGCGAAATAGCCAAGAACAGTAGAGTGCAAATTATGCCATCGCCCCATTCTTTACGAGCTCCTTACGTGACCAAAAACTCTTTGCCTACATTTTTTTTGTACTTTCTTCTTGGTTTTTTGCTTTTTTTACAAGGGGTTCCATAAACTAAGGATTTTTTGTGCTGGGGGGTTCTATACATTCTCTATAAATATTTTTGGGGGCTAAACTTTCTTTATTTATACTTTTTTCATAGGTGGAAAAATGCCACTGCGTGGTTTTGTGCGTTATTTCGGTTGTCTTTTCATGTGTGTGTGCGTGTGTGTGTGTGCGTGTGTGTGTGTGCGTGTGTGTGTGTGCGTGGGAGAAAGTCTATAAAATTCATGCGTGAATTTTGATGGATGTCTTCTAATGAAAATATGCGACTCACTCATGGCATTTCCTCTCCCTCTCTCTCTGTCACTCTTTTTACTACCTCTCCCTCTCCCTCTCTCTCTCTCTGTCTCTCTCCCTCTCTCTCACGCATCACAAACCATTTTCCTTTGCCACTGCCCCGCTGCGTATGTGTTTGGCATAAATTTTTGACAGTTGAGTTATTTTCGACAGGGGCCACTGCCGAGCGCCTAAATGTAGGCTGCACATAAATATTAACCGAAGGCAGGCCAGGAGTTGGTGGCGCTTCTACATGTGGGAAATGCTAGCTGCTGCTACCGTTTTTTTTTTTTTATATTTTGCGGATAATTGAAGCAATTTAGGCTAAAGTGTTGCCTAAAATAATCTATGATATGAAAAAAGGAGGGAAAAAAATTGTTTGATGTTTCATAAAGGTAGTGGAGAAGTTCTTTCCCGGAAATGTTCCCCGAAAATAGTAGAAAATGGTGAAAAATGTGTAGAGAATTTAATATAGTGTGGGAGTTCTTTGGATGTTTCTGAGAAACAGTTTTTTATGTCACGGAAAATAATGAAAAATTCACTTGCAAAATCATGAAAAATGTGACTCAAAAATTGTCTAAAAATTAATGTTTGATACTGAATATTGTGCCCAAAAAATGCTTAAAAATTGCTTAATTATAAAAAACCATTTATTTATGTTAACATCATTGTAAATACTATTTTTAAAAGCTGCGTTTTGCACCCGCAAAATGTGCAAAAATGCATTTAAAATAAAGCGGTTATTAAGATAATTCCTCATATTTTTTAAATCAAATTATTTCTTGATAAATCATTAAAAATAAAACTAATAAAAATAAATAAAAAAGTAGAGTTCTATAAAAAATCATTAGAGAAAAATAAAGAGAACTTCTAAAAAACTTAGGGAAATATTAAATTCAAAAATGTATACGAAAAAAATTAAGAATCATTTTCAAAAAAGCCAAAAACAATAATAAATTCTGGTTAAAAATTACAACAACAAAAATCCTTAAGCTAAAGGAGTCTTAAAGGACTTTTCCACTAATTGTTTCTCCATAAAATATTAAAAATTTATATAACAAAAAGGCAACAAAAAATTTAATTTTAACTAAAAATGTTCGAAAAAATCCCTTAAACTAAATGAGCTCTAAAGTATTTTCCTATGTGTTCTTCCCAATAACTATTTTTCTATAAAATATTAAAAATCAAATAAAAGTGACAAACAAATTTAAGAAATTTTGGTTTTTGGTCCCTAAACTAAATTAGCTTTAGATACCTGTTCTTCCCACAAATTGGTTCTCTATAAATCATGGAAATTGCACCTAAAAACTTTCCTTTTAATGCCTCAATCAAAAACTACTTTAAACAGAAGTTTGATAAAGTACTATCCTGTATGAAATCATATGAACTGATGGCCACACACACTCCTTCGACTGCCAGACACATCTAGGACTCCACTGGAAGCCCTCCACGGACAGACAGACGGACAGACAGACACAAACAACATTATCTTTGAGACGACATTGACATTTGGTCGCATTCGCATTCACATTCACATTCACATTTTCATTCACATTTCACATTGACTTTGACACTAACTTCAGAAACCCGTAACCCCTAACCCTTAACCCCTGTCTGCCCCACACGCACCGCCCCGCCCCGCCCCACACCGC